TCAATTCCCAGCAACCACATGGTGGCTCACAACCATCTGTAATGAGATCTGGTGCCCTCTTCCTGCAGGCATACGTGCAGACAGAACACTGTATACATAATAAATAAATAAATCTTAAAAAAAAAAAGAAAGAAAGAAAAGAAAAAGAAAGGAGGGTCCAAGCTAAATTGTGTAAAGCTATTGCTGAACATCCACCTGACCTAGGCGGTGTCTCCTTGTGGAATTTGTCTTAAATCAGGAGACTTGCATGTGGGCTGTTATTACTGCTAGTCCTTGAAAGTGGCCAAGGGAGATATCTGATTCCAGAGAAAGCCTTTCCTGAGTCAGTTCTCCAAATTCCTGGAGTGTGTATGTCCCGAGAGTGATCAGTCCACACTGTCAGCCCTTCTTAGGGAAAAGTCAACTGGGAAAACTATGAAGGCACACATGATTTTCATGACAGAAGACAGCTGATATATAACAAGCCAAGTAACACCAAAAACTCCTTGGGGTTTGGCTTCCTCTGGAGGAATTCCCTGATTCCTCCAGGTAGTGACTTTGCCATAACCAGCTGAGTTCTTATGATATATTCCTGCGGCCTGCAGCAGCCAATCAAGAAAATGCTCCCCACAGACATGCGCACTGGCCAATCCGATGGAGTCAATCCTCAGTTGAAGTTCACTCTTCCCTGGTGACTCTAGCTTGTGCCAAATTGACAAAAACTAGCCGGAACACTCAACTTTCCTTGTAGCTAGACATCCTTATGTGACCCAATTAACCCTACGAGATGTAAGGCGAAGAGCACCAGGATCTCAGATAAAAGGAATAGGTACAGGAGGGTTGCCTGCCTTCCACTCCGAGCTGCCATGATTGTGTGAGGATGTAGTGTTTGGAACTGTGGCATCCAGTTTAGAAATTACAGGTGGTAGGGCTAGAGAGATGGTACTGGCTGCTCTTCCAGAGGTCCTGAGTTCAATTCCCAGCAACCACATGGTGGCTCACGACCATCTGTAATGAGATCTGGTGCCCTCTTCTGGCGTTCAGGCATACATGCAGGCAGAACACTGTATCCATAAAAATTAAACAAATCTTAAAAAAAAAAAAAAAAAAAAAGCCAGGCAGTGGTGCACACCTTTAATCTCAGCACTCGGGAGGCAGAAGCAGTCGGATGTCTGTGAGTTCGAGGCCAGCCTGGTCTACAGAGTGAGTCCCAGGACAGGCTTCAAAGCTACACAGAGAAACCCTGTCTCAGGGGAGGGAGGGAGATGGGAGGGGGGAGAAATTTCAGGTAGTGTCACCAATCACACTGAGGATGGCAGGGCAGAAAGACAAGCATCTCTTCAGAGTCTTTGATGGCATCGCTACCCCAAGCCCCTCTTGTGAAGTGGGCAAATATTTCTAGGCTACTTTCAGTGCTCCGTGACTTGTTGTAGAATATTTGTTTACACTGTGTGAAGATGTGTCACTGTGATTGGTTTAATGAAGAGCTGAATGGCCAATAGCTAGGCAGGAGAGAAGAGGTGGGATTTCCAGGAGAGAGAGAGGACTCTAGGAAGAAGAGAGGCGGAGAAGCCAGCAAGACTAAAACAAGTCAGACACACAGTACAGCAGAGAGGTAACTGAACCATGTGGCAGGATGTAGATTAATAAAAGCAGGTCAATTTGAGTTATAAGAGCTAGTTAGGGAAAAGCCTAAGCTAAGGCCAAGCTTTCATAATTAATAATAAGTCTCCACGTCATTATTTGTGGGCTGATGGTCCCAATGAGAAAGTACACTATAGTTGCTTGTAGCTAAAAGCATCCTCGAAAATGAAGAACACAGGCACCATGCTCTCCTTGCCTATGAATACTCTATGTTCATAGTCTAGCGACACATCATCCTAATGGACTTGGAGTCCCTTGAGTCCTGTCCTGCTTCCCTAGTGATCTCCATGCCCAGGACCACACCTGAAACAGTGCAGAACTTGGGAAATGCGATGCATACATTTAAAGGGCAGGCAGAAGGGCACCTGGGCCATACTCTCTGCCACCCAGCTGTGGGTTTTCCCCGAGAGCAGATGCCGGGCAATGCCTGTGCATAAGTACCCCCTTTGGGTAAATGCCCTCAGATGCTCAGGAAGACAGAGGGGATGTCCCAGAGGATGACGGTCCAACAAAACTGTAAGAGCAGGGCCTGAAGAGATGGCTCAGTGGTTAAGAGCACTGGCTGCTCTCCCAGAGGATCCAGGTTCAATTCCCAGCAACCACATGGCAGCTCACACACTGTCTGTAACTCCAGTTCCAGGGGATCCATCCAGTGTTCTCTTCTGACCTCTGTGGACACACTACACTTAGGCACACCCACATACACATAAAATCTGTAAGAGCAGACACCCCAGCTACATTGGGACACTGACGACTCGACTTTCATGGGCAAAGCTGAAGGCACACTAGGAATATAGTAATCTCTTCCAGAAACTTTTGATACCCTTCCTGACAGAAATCTTCCCCAGCTGCCCAAGACCACCGTGTTACAGGGCTTGGGAGGCAATTAGTCAACCTAGTCAGACCCAGGGGTCTCCCGTGAAGTGGGACACACCACACCCGACACCTCAAGAGTGAAGATGTTCATTGAGTAGACATCCCTCCCCATCTCCTTAAGCTCCTTCCAACAAAGCTGAGATCAACCCCACCCCCCTGTCAGCCCAGGCCCGATACAGGTCTCCATTTGAATTTGTTCCTGGAACTTTTCCTCAGAGGTTTCTCAGGGGACACTGAGGTGATGCTGAGGAAATGCTGTCTAGTGGTTAGGGCATGAACTTGGCACCAGCTTGCCTGACATCGGATTCCTTATTGTGTATGGAAGTCTTATCGAGTGCCAGGCCATCATCGTGTATACCACCAACCTGGGCTACAGCCTTGAGTAGCACCTCACAGATATGAGTGAATTCAAATGGCTGCTCTACTCAGTAACATGGAATGTTAAAGCCCTAATTAAAGAAGTGCGTGTTAAATGATCATAAGGACCTCCATAGAAAACACCATCCAGGAACCACTTCATAGCTGCGGGGACAAGCCATTTCCTTGTTGATCTGAGTCCCACTATGGTGACTGCCAGGGTCCTGACTAAGGCCACCCTAGTGGAGAAACAGAGGTGCAAATGTCTGACAGGCCTGGATGACTGGACTAGGCCATGGGAGCAGGGTCTTGGAGTTGGCTATGGCCAGAGCAGCCTATCAGAGCCCGTATGTCTCAGCACTGGGCCTCACCTTTCTCAGCACTGACTTTGTCCAGGTGTCTGTCAGAGCCAACCCACCCTCCTAAATCAAGGAACATTCGAGCACAAACCTAGGTCCCTGCCTTCCTGGTGGCTCAGGGGACTGAACAGCTCCAAAGGCTGTTGTTGCACCAGGTTGTGGCAGCCTGCCACCGAGCAGTGGCTTCAAGAACCAAGTGTCGCCGGGCGGTGGTGGCGCACGCCTTTAATCCCAGCACTCAGGAGGCAGAGCCAGGCGGATCTCTGTGAGTTCGAGGCCAGCCTGGGCTACCAAGTGAGTTCCAGGAAAGGCGCAAAGCTATGCAGAGAAACCAAAAAAAAAAAAAAAAAAAAAAGAACCAAGTGTCTGGTCTGGGACTGGCAGAGCAGTCTAGTGCTCCCTGGCTTCCTGGCTTCCCTCAGGGAAAATGACACCAATGGGTAACAGAAGACAGGGCCGGACTCCACCTTCACCAGACCCCCCGCCAAGAGCCCTGATTGGCGCCTGTCAGCACCTGAGGGCCCTTGGGCCCAGAGTCCATCCTCAGCAGAGTCGGTCCCTCCCCTGGCCCACTGGAGTGGGTGGTTCTGCAAGGGATCAGCAGGCTCAGGGGCCCCCTGGTTACCTCAGTTTCCCTGGTGTTCATGAGAATGTAAAGCCTCCCACTGAAAACGTCTGGGAAGCGAGGAAGAACAAATGGGGTGGGTCGGGCGAGAAGTCCACGGAGTCTGCCTCAAGGGTAAAGGAATTTATTAGGGAGGAAGACAGCATGGAGATTTATCATAGGGTCCTGGAAGTCCAAGGTACAATCCAACGCTGTTCTTCTGCCCAGGTCCATCTCAGCATCCAAGCCCAGGAGGGAGAGAAGACTCAGGTCTTAAGGGTAGCCCCAAGCCCTACCCCAGGGACAGGTACTTCGAGGTCATAGGTAAGTAGGGCAGTTACCTGCTACGTCTCTAGGGGGCGGTGCTTCAAGGTCATAGATAGAATAGGTATCCACTACAGGTGGGTCAGTGCCAAGACTCTACAGCCAAGCTCTTAAAGCCTGTCTAGGAAAGATGGAGTGGGGGGGGGGCTTCTAGGGACTCTCTTTTATGGGTTGGCAAGTCACACAAAGCCCCACAGTGATTTCATGCTCTGTTGTTGCTATATTAAACATTTAATTTAATTTTTTTTCTTTCTTTCTTTCTTTTTTTTTTTTTTTTTTTTTTTTTTTGAGACAAGGTTTCTCTGTGTAGCCCTGGCTGTCCTGGAGCTAGCTCTGTAGACCAGGCTGGCCTTGAACTCAGAGATTCTGCCTCTGCCTCCTGAGAGCTGGGATTAAAGGCACGTGCCACCATGCCCAGCTGTAAAACATTTTAATTTTAAAACAAATGGCCTCAAAAATTATATAGCCCATCATGTCTGGGGGAAGGACTTCTTTCTTTTTTTAAGATATGATCTCAAGTAACCTGGACTGATAGGATTGTCCTGCCTCTACCTCCCAAGTGCTGACATTACAGAGTACAGGGATTAAAATAATATGCCACGACTGGTTTACATGGTGCTGGAGAGCCAACCCAGGGCTTCTGTGCTTGCTAGACATTCTACCCACTGAGTCAAATTCCTAGCGCTGATGAGAGGACTTTAAATATAAAAGGCCAGTCTGCCCGGACATCAGCATTAGAGGCTATGGGGACGGCCACCGCCCTTACCACTGTCTCAATCCTGCATTTCTGGGAATGGTGAAGAATGCGGCCTGGCCTCCTCCTGAGCTTGACAGATGGAATTCGTGTCTCTAAGAGAAAAGAGGCTGACCTCAACAGGTGGCAGGTACAGCCAGGGAAAGAGCAGAGGACCAGCCGCGCTCGCCAGCCCTGGGATCCTGGGTGGTCTCCTCTGTCTACTGTGTGGGTAGCGTGAGTGTACGATGACGGTCCCTATGAGCTGGCAGTGCCTCGGGAGGAGCCTGCAGGGCTGAGAGGCTGGTGAAGACACAATGCGGCGGAGGGAGGAAGAAGTGGTGAGGCCCGGAGCCAGGAGGCTCTTTGGAGTCGCAGCCAGCAGGACCGGCCCAGGCGCGCTCTGGCCTCTGGTTTCTAGCCAGTGGGTAATTCAGAAACTCCTCCAGATGGCGGCTGGGGCCTGCCTGCCTTGCTCCTCCTAGCTCAAGCCAGCCGCCAAGGCAGGCAGCCACCTCGGATCCACCTTCCAGATGTGTCCCCTGTATTCACAGCTGGTCCTGGGTCAGTGGGTACCGGGAAACTGAGCTGGTGGGCGGGGAGTAGGCCTGGGAAGGATCCAGGCTCCACAGAAGATGGGGAGAGGGGCCCCCACCCTGTGTGTGCTGGGGTGAGGACAGTGGAGACAGCCTTCCGTCCTGTTTTCAGTCCAGCCTGGATCCTGGCAGGGTCTCGGGAGCCAGACAGCAGAAAACCCGTCCTCCCTGGCAAGGGCCAGCCAGCCAGCAGCCAGGGCCTCAGGCTGCACACTCCCCACACTTCAACACCCACCTTCCCTCCAGAAGGCTGGGAACCTGGCCCTGGACTCCTCCCTTGGCATCTCCCAAGTCGGCCTGTTAATCTCCTCCCTGTTCCAGTGAAAATTTTCCCAGAACCCAGAAGAAATTGATACACTTGGGGCTCCTGGTCTTCACGCTTGTGAAGAGGTCTGAGGCCAGCCTGAGCTGGGGTCGGGGCAGAACAGGGCTAGATTTGGGTGGGGGAGGAAACAGGCAGGGAAACTGAGGCCCAGAAATGTTGCATGGGGTCAACAGCTAAACAGGCAATTACCCCCAGACAAGACTTCCTCAGCCATGGATCCTGAGCTCTCCAGGACAAGGCAGATTCCAGTCACAGGACCTTGCATAAGTTACAGCTTTCTCTCTGTACAGAAGAAGGACTCCAACAAGGGTCACCATGTCCCGCCTGGCTCTCCAGAAAGCCAAAGGACAAGGCTTTGGACTGTGCCACAGATCATGGGCAATCCAAGGCTTCAGCCTGCCCTTTACTGTGGCCTACAATGGCTTTGTTGTTTAAGCTCTGAAGTGAGGCTGCAGGAACCCTACTCAGGACCCTAGGGACGCCCACAGTGTCTACACCATGCAGTGTCAACACTGGGGGGTCTCCAGACCAGCTCTCTTCCAGAGCCATAGCCAGGAAGGGGTGCAGGCCCCTCCACTCGCTTATCCAAAGATAACTGAGCCATCTGGCTCCCCTCTGAGAAGATCCAGGCCAGCTTGAGGTGGGACAGTGAGAAGTTAGATAACGCGGCAGTCTTCCCCCTGGCCTGGAGCACCTGTTTTTCTCGGTCTGATCTGATGATGTAGGAGCAAATGGAGGGAAGCTAATCTCACCCGGATGCATCTCTCACATCAGTCCAAATTCAACCTGTTTTTTTTAAAAATGTGACCGTTCTAGGGGCTGGAGAGATGCCTCAGCAATTAAAAAGTGAATACTGCTCTTGCAGAGGATCTGAGTTTGGTTCCCAGCCTCCACCATGGGGCTGCTCACAATTGCCTGTAACTCCAGCTCCAGGGTATCTGACTCCCTTTCCTGGACTCCACGAGCTCCTGCACTCATGTGCACGAACCCACATGAGACGCACACATAAACAGGTAATTTAATATAAACATGAGCCAGGTGTGGTAGTCACACCTTTAATCACAGCACTAGGGAGGCAGAGGCAGGACTTGAGGGAAATGCCTCAACAGGCTGAAACAGAGTCAGATACAGCGGCGAATATGGGAGAAACTGAGGCAGCTCCTAGACTTTCTCATCTACCCTAAGCCCCCATACAAGGCTCAGTGTCTCCTCCATGAGACTGTTGGGCAAGTCCATGCTATGTAAAACACCGCTGTGACGCAGCCGAACTAAGAAGTGTCAGGGCAACCCCATCCCAGCCAGGCCTGTTGGCCACTCAGAAACCCTCCTAGCAGAAGACCCAGGGTGGCCAGGGCACCCAGGAAGGAGTGGGAAGAGACTAGGAGACATGTCTTCCCAGCCTCAACTTCTGCAAGTCTTCGGAGTGTTTTAGCTGTGTGTCCTAGGCTGCCCTCCATCACAAACCGACTACAGGTGTGGTTCCAGCCCTTCTGAAAACCGCAGGGAGCAAAGAGCCAGAGGCCTCCCACTGGCCCCAGACAGCCATCCCGACCTGCTCCACAGCCATCCTGGGCAGGAGCAAGCCCAAGGTGAGGTGAGATCAGAACGTTTAGAAACTCCTCCAGCAGTGGGGCAGAGGGGTTTCATGACCGTTTAACAATTTAAATAAAATGATAGGACTCCGAATTTGTATGACGCTTTTCCCCTTTATCTTTCTAGCAATTTCTTCATATTCCTTTATGAAAGGAGCAGCCTGTCGTCGATAGGAATTAGAATAACACATTGAGCCTCCACCACACATGCTGCGAGACACTCTGCCCCAAGTGTCTTCTCATCTTGGTCTAAGCGGCCTCCACGCCAACACATTACATTAAAATGCGCCACTTAGAGGGACAGGCTGGCCGTCCCTAGCGATGTGCGTGGCCGGGGCCAGCTCTCCTATTTCAGCAGTTCAGATGGGGACAGCCTGTCTCCAGGAGCCTTCTCTGTCACCCAGCTCTCAATGCTATCTCCTCCTGGGTTCTCTGTCTCCGTCCGTCATTTGGTAACTTAATTAAAATACAGTAAGAAGTACCGAGTCGCAGGCTTTGTCCTGAGAATCCAGCATGAGCCTCCTGGAACCGGTGAGGTCTGTTCTTCTGTGGCGTTTCCCGGGACTCTCCATTCTGCACGTGGGATCCTCGCTGTGTTGCCTTTCTCCTTGTGACAAAATACAGAGGTAACTTAAATGAAGAAGGGTGTGGCTTGGCTCACTGTGTGACGATGTCCACTATGGTGGGTAAGGCGTGATGGCAGAAGCCCCAAAGCAGCTGGTCATGGCATCCACACTCAGGAAGCAGAGTGGTCAACGCTGGTGCTCAGCTCACCTTCTCCCCTTTTCCTTTTTATTCAGCACGGTTCCTCAGACCAAGAGATGATGCTACTATATTCACAGTGGGTCCTTGCCCTCAGTTAGCCCTCTCTAGGAACGGCCTCATAGATACAGCCAGAGGTGTGTCCCCAGGGTGATCCTAAACCCAGTCAAGCGACAATGGCGATTAAACATCCCACTCACCTGCTGGTCTCAAGGTTCTGGGCACCGAGCACTGTATGAGGTCAGGGTAGAAGAGACAGATCCAGCCAGGGGCTGTTGATGACAGGGGACAAGGGCAGGGGGACTCCTCCTTCTCTGCTTTGATTTTTCGTTTCGAAGTGCTGGAGCTTTTTGCTTTAAAGACACCAAATTGAATGCACCAGTAAGTACACAGGCTTGTGGGTGTACGCGCGTGTGGTGCGTGTGCATTTGTACACATACAGAGGCAAAGGACAACCTTGGGCATCATCCTCAGCAACACTGTCTACTTCCTGTGAAAAACGTCTATGACCCTGGAGCTCACTAACTGGGCTAGACTGGCAGCCCTGTGAGCCCCAGAGACCCCCTGTCTCTGTCTCCTCAGTGCTTGGGTTACAAGTATGTACCATAATGCACCTCATGTTTAGGAGTTCTAGGGCCTGGCTGGGATGGGGTTGCCCTGCGGCCTATAGGTCTGATGCTTCCCAGTAGTGTTATACACCACACACACACACACACACACACACACACACACACACACACACACAGGGGCTTAACCAACACTCCTTTGGAGGCCACGCTGAGCCTTGTATGGGAGCTTAGAGTAGAGGAGGAGTCTGGGAGCTGCCTCAGTTTCTCCTCTCAGCAAACTGGTTCTGTTCCAACCTGCTGAGGCCCTCTGGAGACCAGGCAGTCCTCCATGGAATGTGGTCCCAGAAACTCGTGACCTGGGTGTGCTTCCTGGAGAGGTTCTCTCCTCACTCCATGCAGGGGTCATAGTGGACCTTCCGATTTTTTTTTTTTTTTTATTGTTTTTTGAGAAGAGTGTCTCTGTGTAGCTTTGGAGCCTATCCTGGAACTCACTCTGTAGACCAGGCTGGCCTCGAACTCACAGAGATCTGCCTGGCTCTGCCTCCCCAGTGCTGGGATTAAAGGCATGTGCCACCCCTGCCCATCATGGACCTTCAGATTTTAACCCCTGTGTACTTGTGCTGGTTTGAAATAGAGACTTATGTTGCCAAGGCTAGCTTTGAGTTCTCTGTAACCAAGGAGGACTCCATCGCCCAAGTCGTGGGATCATAGGTGTGTTCAGCCCCTCATATCCAGCCAGAGTTGATGTTCTGATCTTGACACAAGCTCTGTGGGACATGTGCAGCTACACACACATAAATAAATCAATCCATCAAACTGTGGTGGCTCGTACTTCTAATCCCAGCACTCAGAAGGCAGAAGCAGGTGGATCTCTGTGAGTCTGAGGGCCAGTCTGGTCTACAGAGTGAGCGCCAGGCCAGTGAGGACTACATAGTGAGACCTATCTTAGAAAAAACAAAACAAACAAAAACACAAAACCTCCTGACATCAGGTGTGGTGTCAAATGCCTTTAATCCCAGTATTCTGGAGGCAAATCTCTGAGTTCGAGGCTAGCTTGATCTACAGGGCTAGCTCCAGGACAACCTGGGCTACACAGAGAAACCCTGTCTCCAAAACCAACAATAAACAAAGAATCAGCAAATGAACCCAATTTTGTTTGCTTGTCGGTTTTTTCCAACACAGGGTTTCTCTGTGTAGCCCTGGCTGTCCTGGAACTCACTCTGTAGCGCAGGCTGGCCTCGAACTCAGAGATCTGCCTGCCTCTGCCTCCCGAGTGCTGGGATTAAAGGCGTGCACCACCACCACCAGGCTGCAATTTTTATAAATTAAAAAAATAATAAGGTGAAAGAAGTAAGAGTGTGTGGTGCACACTCTAAAGCCCAGTACTCTGGAGGCTGAGGCAGGTGGATATCTGTGAGTTCCAGGATAGCCAGAGCTACAAAATAGAGAGACTCTGTCTCAAATAAATAAATAAATAAACAAATAAATGGGTAGAAGATCAGGGAGATGGTTCAGCTGTTAAAGGTGCTAGCTATACGAGACTGAAACCTCAAGTCAAATGCAGCATTACAAATATGTAACCCCAGCATTCCTATGACAAAATGAGAGAATCACCCAGAAGCGCTATCCCCGCCCCACAGCCAGCCTGCAGTACACAGTATGGCAGAAACAAGGGAGACCCTGCCTTATCGAGGCAGAAAATTGTCTTCTGATTATACAAGCACTGTGTCACACACACACACACACACACACACTTTTAAAGAAAAAACAAAAGGGGGGGGGACGATTGAGGACGACCCCTGATGTTGGCTCCAGACCTCTACATGCACACACACGAAGGAAAGGCAGTATGAAAATGTTCCCCAAACTACCCAGCCGACTTCTGCCATTGCCACATGAGTCAGGATGTGTCATTGGCCTTCCGAGGAACAGGGGCAGTCTTCACACTCATGGTGTGCTGTTTAAACACACAGCTGTCGCTGGACGGTGGTGGCGCACGCCTTTAATCCCAGCACTCGGGAGGCAGAGCCAGGCGGATCTCTGTGAGTTCGAGGCCAGCTTAGTCTCCAAAGCGAGTTC